TCTGCACCACAATCTAAGCGCTTTTCCTTGGCCCACGGCCTAACCTTCAACCAGATGCCACTGAAATCTGTTAAGTCCCTTTATCAAACAAACAGGACTGAAAATGCAGCTCTCCTGGCAGAGGTAGAAAGAAAAGCTTTAACCTTCCTCAGCAGGATACAACATCCTTATTGTATTTCTTAAGCTCGACTCTCCTCTGCTCTCTGACTCATACTGTGGGTATGTTTTGTTGCTGTTGTTGTTGTCGGATACTTTATGACACAGAGAGGTCTGAGAGGAGAGTTGAGCATTGGAAATACAATGAAGGATGTTTTCTGTTGAAGTATCTTGGTTTTGATTTTGAATATTTTTAATTAACTTGCCTCATTTGCTGCTGTTCATTTCTCTAGCTGCAGGCTCGCTGAGATTAGAATCGATGAATGTACGAAGATATTTAGTCATGACGGTTTTAAAACATGTAACAATGCTGGGCGAAGTGTTTTTCATGTTAACAGCAAGCTTGTGATTACGTATGTGTGATGAGCTGAATGAAACGCGTGTTGTGCAGAAAAACACACTCCTGTAGAGAGCTCGGCACACTCAGTGGTGTGTGGGAAAGGTGACACTGCTGTCTGTTTGTGTGCCTCAGTGTCACCAAGCTCACTTCTCAACACTCTCCAGGTTCTTTCTCATACAGTTTTACTTTTTCTGAAAACATACATCCACACAATATATCCCGAAACAACCACGGCCATGACATAATACCCGTCAACCTTTCAGTAAAGCAAGGTTAGAGTCCATCTCAGTCTTCCTCCTTATGACGGTTTGTACCCTATAAATCTTTGAGTGTGACAAGACTGGATAGCGAGCCGGTCATGATGCTGAGTGCAGGAATATTCCAGCGGCGTGTGTGTGTGTGTATACGCAGAGCGAGCACGAAGGCGGTCAGGGAAGGCGATGAATGATGCAAAATGGAAAAGAGGCCGACAGACTCTTAACAGCTCCTCCTGCGTAGATCACGTTAGCTACTACAAGTGTATTTACTACAAAAGGAGGTCAAGTGCAAACCAGTATCTGCAACTGTATCTATTTCTGCTCTCCGCTGCCCTGCACTGCTGTTCTGTGTTCTGCCCCTTTAGCTGACATCACTTTACCTCAGTACAAAAAGAGGTCAGGCAGAAATCAGCGGTCTCTGCATGTTAACTAAACTGTTTAGTCTCCTCGCCTGATCTGCATCCTCGCTACACCCCCATGTTCTCCGCTCTCAATAGTTTGTTTACCCACGCTTAACCCTTGGTTAGCAGAACGGACATTTCCTGTGCATATGTGTGCTTGTTTGTTTGTGTGTGTGTGTGTGTAGCTGGCAGCAGTCCCTACCCTTTCTCTGGTGGCCTAACTGGGTAGTTTGTCTCATGCTATGTGGGAGGAAGTCTCACCATCAATTATAGATTGTGCTGACTGGGTGGAAATGCCTTTGCTTTTGCGTACGCACCTAAAACGCTCACATACGCCACTGTGCATTTGTGACGTTTATACAGAGGGCAGGGATGAAGTCAGAACTTCCAGGTTCTGTTCTAAAGGGAAGGAAACCTCCTTCACAATCTCTCTGACATTCACAGTACCACAGTAAACTAAATAAAACCTGCACTTCAACATCATGTGTGACTGCACAGGATATTGAGTAAGGTTGTGTTGCACTTCATTTGTTTAGACAGGAATGGTACATTTTTAATAGTGTTGTCTATATAATATATCTGTTTTTGCTGCCTTGAAAAACACCTTTCCCCCAAGTTCAAGACTGTTGCAGATTGACTATCAGCAGTTTGACAGACTGAGGCCAGTGGAGTGACGAGCTCTGACAGCAGCACCACAGAATTTGGTTTTGATATGATACAAAGAAACAGCAGGGCCAGAATCATCAATACCAAGAGTTTTTATTATTAAAAAGAATGATCTTGTAAAGGGGAGCCATGTGTCAGGATTAATGAGGTGAATTTATCATTAAAAGGCTACTGGATACATCTTCATTACCAAATGAATAGCCAGGCAATAAGCATTTCCTTTTCTATTCTCTGTTAACTGTTAACTGTCAGGACAAGTTTAATGATAAACAATGGATATGTTAAATTTGTAAAATCTGCTGTGTGCATGCACACAACAGCAGCAGATATGCAAAGAAAAAAATGCCTAAATACCTGTAAATCATTTGGGAAGAACAGAAGATCATCCTGTAGAGCCTGCATCCTTTTTTGTATCCAACAGCTCTCCAACTGTCTTCACTATTCTGAAACCACAACACAACAAATGTTGAGGATGACTAATTTTCACTCTTGCCACCTAAAAACAGGCCACAACTGTCTGATGTTACTATTTTTAAGTTACATAACAGGTGGCAAAAACGGCATTACTAATCTTGAAACCTATTTTTGTCATACTACGCTGGAGTAGAGTTCACAGTTAACATGGATCGTAAAGTCGTAAAATCGTATCAAACTGCCCACCTCTGTCTGACACTAGTGGCATGGCTCTAAGGCCTCATTTACACCGCAAGCGATGCGTTTGCGTAGCGCTCTCGTACGGTCGCTGTTTACTTGCGTTTTCATTTCGGCAAGCATGTTAACAGGTCAGAGCATTCACACTGCATCCATTCTATGTGCTGCTCGAGTTGCACTGCTTTCGCAAGCAAGCTCGAAAATAGAGAGAGACGCCGAGTTTTTGCACGAGTTGCGAGTGAATGGTCGGTATTCAACAAAAAATACGAGTTTGCTTGTGTTGTGACCTCTCTCAGCCACAGTAGACATCTCCCCCTTGACCAAGCGAGACCTGACAGGCACATGTTTCATGTACTTACCCATTTGTAGTTCTAAATATTAATTCTCCAAGCACTGGAATAATCACTGGCATGCAAACCTGTTCACCCTGGGCTTTGGGTCCAAACTCACTTCTTCTTCTTTGGGGTTTATTGGAGATTTGCAAACACAGTGCACTACCGCCACCAACTGTTCGGGTGTGGTTTGTATTTTGACAGGACAGCAGCGCCCGCTGCGCAACGCGTCTGTTCGGTTTTGGTGTGAATACACGTGTGTTGCCGCAATGCTTGTGGACCGCTTCGCGAGTGCTAAGCGAATGCATTGCTTGCAGTGTAAATGAGGCCTAAGGATGTCCTGAAATATCTCAGCTATTGTTGGATGGATTGACATAACGTTTTGTACAAACATTCATGTTCCTCTCAGAAAGAATTGTAATAACTTTGGCAGTCACTTATTTTTTCATCTAGTGCCACCATGAGGCCAAAATTCTCATTCATTCATTTTCCATAATCGCTTATCCTGTTGGGGGTTGCCGAGGGGCTGGAGTTTATCCCAGCTGACATTGGGCGAGAGGCAGGGTACACCCTGGACAAGCCAGACTATCACAGGGCTGACACATAGAGACAGACAACCATTCACACTCACATTCACACCTACGGGCAATTTAGAGTCACCATTTAACCTGCATGTCTTTGGACTGTGGGAGGAAGCTGGAGTACCTTGAGAAAACCTACACTGACATATGGAGAGAACATGCAAACTCCAAAATTTTAACATGTCAAATTCTTTTGACATGTATGGCTAAATACCTGCAAAACTCCCATCACCCTCAGCTGTACTCTGTGTTTAGTGTGAAATTAGCAAATGTCAGCATGCTAACAAGCAAAATCAGATAGTGACCAAGGGGAACAATATACATACAAAACAGCACAGAGCGGCCAGTGTGGCTTGAGAGTCTTTCTCTTGTTCAGACAGCAGAGATTACAGCTAAGAGGCTGGAAAGATAATAGAAGACAGCGTCAACATCATGGATAATGGAGCAAGTTGTAATGACGTACAGTACATTATCGTTATCTTAGAATACGCCTAGTAAATCCCCCATTTCCCTTTTCTTAGAAAGAAAGATCAAAGAGACCCTTACTGAGAGATAAGAATGAGTCAGAGAAGCTAACCAGGACATGACGTCAGGACTTTTGCTCTTCACAAGGACACATAAAAGTTCAGAGAAGCTTTTTTTTTCCATTCTCAAAAAGCATTGCTCTCCTTCTCAGATTAGAGGTGACACATCAGCACCTCTCTGCCTCACTATTCATCTGTAATCAATAAGGAGGGAACGGCAGCCAAAAGATGCTTGAGAGGAAGGCCGGACCTTTTGCTCCTTCCCACTCCTTCTTCTTCCCCTCCATAATGTCACATCCTGTTTGTTGCTCTTACAGCTGAGAAAAAGGCTCTCAAAGAGAAGAGGGAGCCACTCTTCTAGCAAATTCCCCAGACAGAGAGCCACTCTACATCCCTCTCTCTTCCCAGCCTCCTCGTTTTCTCACAGAATCTCTGCCTCCTTCTCTCCTTACTGCCTTATCCCTCACTCTACCTCGCTCTCCGCTCCATCTTGCCATCTCCCTCCCCTCCCCCAAGCATCTTTCCTCACCACTCTCTTGCACCCACTCCTTCATCCTCCTCCTCACATCTCCGCAGCTCTTTCTTTTACCCCGCCCCCCTCTGTCTCTCCTGTTCCGTCAGACATCAGCTGTTTTTTGTTTTTTGTTTTTCCCAGGAAGTGTTTTATTTAGAGCAGATTAATTAATTAGATACAGTATCAGAGTAAGGGCCATTCTTAGACCATTCTTTGCCCAGGTCTATCAAAGCCTTGAGGCTATTGGCGTGGCAGAAAATTTGTGTGTGTGTGTGTGTGTGTGTGTGTGTGTACAGCATCAACAACCTGTGTGTATTTTTAAGATGTATAGGTGCTTGTTGTGTATCTGCACCAATGTGCGCTAATTGGACTTGTCAAGAAAGGTCTTTTGTATATAGGAAACGTTGGTGTGTGTGTGTGTGTGTGTGTGTGCATGCCAGACTGTTATATAAGAAGAAATAACTACCTCCATCTCATCATGCTGGTAATAGGGTTGTGCTTGTTGGTAGAAACCACTGTGTTTCATTAGCGATTCTTCCCTAACGCCCTCCTCCTTTCTCTCTGTCTCTCCCCGCCAGGGACGAGTTCTCACACCAAGTACAGAGCAGCGAGCAATGAGGAAGAAAGAAAAGAGGTGCTCGTCCAATCAGAGATGCAGATGGCCACAGAAGACATGAGCACCAGCCAATCTGGCACCAGGATGACTTCCTCTTGCCAATTTATACATAACAAATCAAATGCGACCCCCTAATTGAACAATTGATACAGTTTACCTAGACACACATACTGCCAATGAAGTGATACCTCCCATTCCTGCTCTCATTTCTACTTTGATAAATCCTTAATTCCTCACACAACTCAGTCTTTAATTTGCTGTACTGTTACAAGACAAGCTAAAGAGAAACTTTTTTACCATGCTGTGACTACGCTTCAAGCAGTGCAGACACAACTCTGACAATAAGGCAACACCAAGCCACCACACACTGAGATATTACTGTACAAACAAGCCCGCAGTCCCTTTCAAATGGCACTAGCCTGCATGGATAAATGTTAGATGGCAAGCATCTCTGCTCGGGTTTCTCCAATGGATATTGTAACGACTTCCCAAATGGCCCAGAGGACAGGACAGGGACGGCAGAGACATAACGTGACTGGAGGTTCCTCATCAGTGCTCCTGTCCACAGCCAGCTCCTTCCTCTGTTGGCTCTCCCTGCTGTCAGTAATGCGGTTGCCAATGGTAACAGCTGACTGCTGGCTTATCGAAGGCGAGAAAGGCTTTGTGTGGCTGGCTATCTGCAGTATGAACCAGCCGCCTTATGAGGCCATCCCCTCTCATATCAACAGGTAAGGAAACTTATGATGAGAGAGTTTTGTCAATATTATGTTGCCTCTTTGTCAAACATCTACAGCCTTCACACCTCTCTCAACAGCACTATTGTGGATCTGAGGCTGAATGAGAACAAGATACGGTCGGTCCATTATTCTTCACTCAGTCGCTTTGGCAACCTCACCTATCTGAACCTCACCAAGAATGATATCAGCTATGTGGAAGATGGAGCATTCTCAGCACAATTCAACCTGCAGGTAAGCAATGATATATTGTACTGCATATACACACAGTGGAGGAAAGTGCATTTATCAAGTACTGGGTTATGGTACATTATAAGGTATTTGGGTATGCTGACATTACAGTGTGTAAAGCTACTTAACTCTTCTACCTTGATACATTTCAGAGGGAAATATTTTACTTTTTACTCCACTACATTATAATCCAATAATGTGTTATTTTGTCTTAGTAGACAGTATTTCCTACTGATGATGTAAATCTTTAAAAAAAAAAATGCTCCCAAACATAGTGGTTAATATTCTTTTTTTTTTTTTTTTTTTTAAAAGGCTACATTTATTTGAAATGAATAGTGTTGGATAATGTTACAGTGTAATTGACGTTTTACACACAAAAGATTTGATCAGCATAAAATTCGATCCAGTTTTTAAAGATGATTAAACAATATATGAAGTAATTAAATTAAATCCACCTGTAACATTTAAAACCTTACAAATTAATGCATCAGCAGGTATATATATATAATTAACCCTAGTCATCAATCCTCAACACTTTTGTGTTACTGTCCAAGATGTGTCTGTACAGTAGCAAAGAGTATCAAAATCTGTCAAGTAAACTGGTGTCAAATGGTTGCTCGTATTCCTTATCTTGTTAACATACCCTTCAATGAAATATTTAAATGTTCAGACTGACCTTTACTTAGGCAAAGTTCTCATACAGTTGTTTAATATTTGAGAACTTGTTTTCAATTGTTAAATGGAAAAAGAAGTTTTGTATACCGTAAAACCTCAGTTAAAGCCTAGTCCCTTTTACTCGCCCGGTGTAGCTACACATTTTGATAAATAAACACCTGTCTCAATTAAAAGCCTGGTCTGGTTGCCAAGCAGTTCATTGTTTTTTTTATAGAAGTTCTTCAGATGTGTAAAACCGGGTTGTTGGCTACCTCAAATTATGTTTCAATTCCTCGATTGACCTGTAAGTTATTCATATTTCTTTAGTCCATTAGGGTCCTCAGATCAAAAGAATTAAAAGGATTTTTCATAAAAATTAATCCAAGTTGTGAATATTGTTTTAACAGGATAAAGTGGTGTTGTGTCGGTATGCTGGGTGCTGTAATTCTTGTGTACCATAACTCTCTCTCTCTGATGTGCTGTCTGTCGGGGCTCGATCAAATGAATAATTCATGATTGATATATTATCTGAAGCCTAATTTTTAAACAAGTAATATTCATACTGGTTTAAATAAACAATTTGATTGTATTTGCCATTCCCAGTTTTGTGTGAAAGGAATTAAAGGCCTGTCCCATATAGATGCCTGTCCCAAATGTAAGCCTGTTGATTTCAGTGATTTAAGCAAATAGTAGCCTGGGCTGTTAATTGAAGTTCTACAGTATTCCTCAAAAATTATTAAAAAAATATATGTATTATTTTGGTATAGGTACTTAAACAGTTCTTCATAATAACTAATATTACTTTTAATATTAAAGGATCTGTGTGCAACATTCAGAGCATATCTACAATTAAAAGTTTGAGTCAGGATTTCCATCACACGGCTTTCAACATGGAGGTGGCTGAGCAGGCAGCTAGCAGCTAACATTGCTAGCACCACAAACAGCGCTGGCAGAGCTAACAGAGCTAACAATTCCGACCTAAGGGGGGAACTGGGGTGTAGGCATTTTGATTCCATGATGACTTCATTCGCTGCTCAGGACAACATTAATCCACTATATCTTTACATAGCTAATAGTTGTTTACTGCTATATTAATGCTGTGAATGTTATAGCTCCTTTAATTACATTTTAATGATAATATTCAGAATAGTGAATGATGGGCTTTTAACTGTAATCAAAGGGAGTATTTTCACACAGGTACTGCCACTACTTTACTTGAGTAAAGGATCTAAACTCTTCCAGCACTATACACACAGATGGACACAGAACACACAAAAAAAGACAACACTCGCTCATTATGGCTTACAGAAACAAAAAAAACATGAAAAAGTGCTTTCACCAAACTGAGCTGAACGCAGCCATAATGAGCTGGCATGCTTACACATCTACCCCAGCTGCTGGAGCTGAGCCAGGAGGTAAAATGTGAACAAGAAAGATCTTAGTAAATTGAGCACAGCATAGAGGCTTAGATCACCATGTGAAACATGAATTGTACTGAATCGTCGTCTGTTTGTTTAGCATGTTTCCAGCTTGTAGTGTGTGATGCTTGGCGCTGGCCGGCTCTTCAGAGATTAGAATAATCCCACTTGTATTTGTCTCCCCAGGTTCTCCAGATGGGTTTTAACAAGTTGAGGAACCTGACAGAGGGGATGCTGCGAGGTCTGGGCAAGCTGCAGTATCTCTACCTGCAAGCCAACCTCATCGAGACTGTTACACCCAACACCTTCTGGGAATGCCCCAACATAGAAAATATAGACCTCTCCATGAACAGGTATCGACCCGGGGTCCATGTACGCGTGTGTAACGGGAGAGAGAGAAAAAATGCTGTGGTAGCACAGAAACAATTAGTTGATTAATCAGGTAGAAACTGAGAAAAGAATGTCAGCAATTTTATGAATGGATTAATCACTGAAGTGAAAAATGTTGGATAATCTTCAGGGTGAGGATTTGCTGGTTTAATGTTTTATCACTTAAAAGTAATGTATTTGGGCTTTAAAAATATTAGTTGGAAAAAACAAGTAATTGAAAATTTATAGACTCAACAATTTAACGATTAATAAATTATAATAGTTGCAACTAACACAGCAACTTCGTTCTTTAACAGTGACATGTGAAATGGGTATTTGATGCAAAAACTGATAATGCTTCTCGCAATCTGGGTCCATAATTTGTTGTTCATTGATGTATGATGCTAACTGGACAGAGAAAACAAGCATTATAACATTTAAGCATTTCCAGATAGGAGAATAAAATAAGTTTCTTTCTGTCGGTTGCTGTTAGTAAATACGGTTGCCAGCGAAAATGAAAGTAAAAAGCCATCCTCTGATTCATCCTCGTTTGGCATTTCACCTTGCTACATTAGCATTTTGTCGGCGCTGTGTCTTTTTGATGCCTGCTGCTTGCGCCTCATTTCCACAATGTATGTGTACGGAGACAAGGCAACTGGAGGTCCATTCATTCTTATGGGAATCTCTGTGATATCTGATGTGCCTGTGAAACTCCTCCCCTCTGTAATATTTAGGTCCGGACTTTGCAGCGAGTACGTTAAACGTTAGGAGACACTGTACGACAGTATGCTAGCTTAGCTAACACGCTGCTAACTAGCCAACAGGCTGTTTCCTTCAATTCAGTTGCCTGTCTTTGTTGTCAAGTGAGTTTGTTTGATTAAAAAGAACTTGTTCATCTAGTTTTAACATATTGTAAATCTGAGTAATGTTATTCTGCTAAAATATGGTTATACAGTCAGATTGTCATTATGACTTGTTGAGCTGTTCATACGTCTTTTTGATTAAATATTTCACAAAACATGCCAAATACCTGTCAGGTCCTGTTTCTGTCCTGGTAATGTTCCAAGCACATATTCCAAAATACTGGATGGCGAAAAATTGACAAAATTAGCCTCTCCCCCATGGCTACAGGTAGTTTGTATCAGGTTTCTATCCATCCGTAAAGAAATGCACTTCCTTGCGTTGGACTCTAGAGGCATCATCTGTATATTTATGGATCTACGGACACCAGTCACATGTGTAAATGAGGCGCTCGAGTCTGAGCAGTGCATGGGTGCACACCGATAAACATCCTGAGCACAGAAAATAAGAAGACTAAGAAAATTTGAGCAGTCTCTGCAGATAAATACACAGCCACACTTCTAGTGGGTCTTAAGTGATGATTGAGAGGGATTACCTCTGTATGAGTCTACACATTGTTTTTAGAGAAAATCCTGTGTAGTCTGTCATTAAATCTGGCCAAAACATCAATGTTAAATGTCAGGCTTGGTGTCAAGGGCTGCTTTCAAAATTACCACTTTGCACTGATGCTTACAGGCTTGCTGGAAAAACAACATCACAGCGGATACAGAGTTACCAATTTTTCTCCCTGGCTGTATCCTCAGTAAACCATGATGCAATGCTGCAACAAGACATCTTTTAAATAAAAGTTGAGACACTTTATCCTCAGTGGGAATAACTGTCTTGTTCTTACTATCGGTACCATAACTGGTATTGATCTCTTGACTTAAATGTAAAAGCAACAGCAGAGGTTTAGCTGCTCTTTGTGGCTTGCTGAAAGGTATTTTGGGAAATGTTTAAGACCAGAAACTGAGGTACAAGAGCACTGAGTAAGAAAGTGCATTTAAAGGGGAAGCGCACCGATTTTACACATCAAAGTCTGTTTACAGGTCGTGAGGAATACTACTGCATATGTGGAGAGGGTTCAGAAAGCAAAGCAGTCTCTGGCTCTAGAGGGAGCTCTGCAAATCTGATCAATTGCCTCAAGTAATGTCACTTGAGGGGTTGAAGACTACAAGTTTGAAAATGAAAAACTATGGCAGTGTGGAGTGAAAAAAGAATTGAGCTCACCAGACCTACGAGTGAGTTGCATTGTGAGTAATGTAGGAGCCTGGTTTTGACAAGAGAGAAGTATACATATATGGAAAAGATCAATTAAGATACTTTTTTTACATTGTCCACAATAAGTCAAACTGTGTTAAAGATGTACAGTACTAAATCAGTGTAACACTTTTTGATATTGATTGTTGACAGATTGGTGATACGGTGTTGAGCTGTGCGGGTGTTTAATCTTCATTTAAATGTATGATTTTCTTTTGTCCCCTCTCAGGATTCAGGTGCTGGATGGCAGTTTGTTCTCTGGACTTTCTAAGTTGACCACTTGTGAACTTTACACCAACCCCTTCAACTGCTCTTGTGAGCTGCTGGGTTTCCTGCGCTGGCTCTCATCCTTTCCCAACAGGACCAGTGAGAGGATGGTGTGCGATTCCCCTTCAGGGTTCTTCGGCTACAACCTCCTGAGCCAGAACCCCCGCATGCCTACCCAACGCAACGCACTGCATGTGCTCAGTCTTGTATGCACAGATGATGGCAGCGTGACATCCTTCTATGTCATTGGCGCAGCTGATTCCACCACCCCAGTCCCAGATTTTGCCTCTCCCTGTGGATTGGACGATTGTGCTTCTGGGACTCCTCCTGATGAGGTAATCAGCTTGAGCCCCATTTTCTCTGACGTCAATCCAATCATGATGTTAAAGCAGGTGCTACATTCGAGCGCTGTGATTACAGTTCAGATTCCCTACCCGTACAGGAAAATGTACATCCTGGTGCTTTATAACAACAGCTTCTTCACAGATATCCAGAATCTGAAAAATCAAAGAGAAGATATTGAGCTCAAGAACTTAAAACCTAACACCGACTACACATACTGTGTGGCTTCTATACGAAACTCCCTGCGCTTCAACCACACCTGTCTGACCATCTCCACTGGCCGCCGGGCCGAGGCTGAGAGGATAGCTAATCAGTCATCAGCTACTCACTACATTATGACTATTTTGGGCTGTTTGTTTGGCATGTTACTGTTCCTTGGTCTAGTAGTCCACTGCCTGAGGAGGAAGAGGATCATGGAGGAGAAGGAGAGAAAGATGAGCAGGATTCAAAGGACTCTGATAGAGCTCAAGTATGGTGGAGAAGGGGATATAGAGGGAGGGAGCGGAGGATCTGTTTCCCAGAAGCTTGGTGCTGGGGAGAGTCTGTCTAGAATGCCCTACCTTCCTCAGGGTGGTGAGATTGATCCATATAAGCTGCAGGAGGTGATAGAAACACCGGTGCACAAGCCTGCTAAACTCAACTACATGGAGGTGAGAGGGTCTGGCATTGAAAGGGAGAGAGAACGAGAGCGGGAAAGAGAGATGTCGCCACAAGCAAATCCCCAGGGTTCAGTAGCAGAGATCTCAACCATCGCTAAAGAAGTCGATAAAGTTAACCAGATCATCAACAACTGTATAGATGCCCTAAAATCTGAGTCTACCTCCTTCCAACAGGGGATGAAATCCCCCTCTTCTGCAGGCGGAGGGGCCGTTTCTACTGCAGAGCCACAGCTGGTGCTTCTCTCTGAGCAAGGAGAGAGAGATAGAGGAGGCGAGTTCCTCTCCCCAGTTTATAAGGGAGGAAGAGGAGGGAGAGAAGAGAGGGGGAGAAGCTATCATCATTCTCTGCAGCGACACCACAGTGTGGAGGCACCTCCGACCTCCAAAAGGCCTAGCACCTCCTCTTCTCCTGGTTCTGCCCGAAGCCCTCGCTCATTCCGCTCGGAGGGAGGCTATCACTCGTCAGAGACCCGCTACATCGAGAGGACCTCACCCGGAGAGAGAGGAGAGAGGGGGGGAGGCGGAGGAGGAGAGGCCATTCGCACAGTCACCCCAGCAGCGGCTATCTTACGAGCTGAAGCCCAGAGAATCCGCCAGTACAATGAACACCGTCACTCCTATCCCGGCTCCCAGCAGCACCTCCAAGAGCTGCAGCACCACCCCCAGATCCTGCAGGAGCTGCATCACCACCCAGGGGCCCGAAAGCCCTCCATGTTAGACCCCCTCACCCTCAGCAGGCAGGCCAAGCAGCGGGAGCTGGCCTACTCCCAGCTCTCTCCACACTACCCGCTCTCGCCCCAGTACCACAACCTCAGCTACTGCTCCAGCCCCGAAGAAGACGAGGAGGATGAAGGGCTCCTCTGCACCCCTACCCTGGGGTTATGGGAGAGGTTCAAACTGCACCGTAAGAGGCACCGGCAGGCGTCCATGGAGGACGAAGGATACGTGGCAGCTGGACATGCGCTGAGGCGAAAGGTTCAGTTTGCCAAGGATGAGGATCTTCATGACATACTGGACTACTGGAAAGGTGTGTCCGCCCAGCAGAAGACCTGATCCCACATCTGGAGACCCCAAACACTTTGAGGATGGAAAATAACAACACTGCACCCATTACATATTGATACAGATCCACAGACTGATACAAAAATGACCTGTAAATACACACAGACACACACACGCACACCTTACAGGATCTACAGAATCAAACTGCACACACACATCTATATATTCACACACTTTACACAAACCAAGCCTTTGCTTCTGAGAACATGAAGGAGGACCAAACTAATATATTATACTGAACAAAAATCATAACTTATAGAGAGACTGAGTTACTTTTTGTAATGTAATACACATTATAGCTCAGACTTATGTAGCTATTTGTACTAAGTTTTGAATGACAAAAAAAAAAAAAATCAACATTAAGAGCAGAAACCTTAAATGTTGCCGGGCAACCCATCCTGAACAGCCTGGCTACGCTTTTGATCTGCGTTGAGACTGACGTTCATCAGACATGACCACGGCAGATTAACCTCACTAAGTCTGATTATGGCGGTGGATTGATCAAGATTTTACTTTGCTAGGGGAGGTTGTTTTTGCATCGCGCCCTGCGACGCTGCTCCGATACAAGACGTTCTGAAAGATTTGCCGTGATTTGAAGATTTAAAACATCAAAATGAGAAATTCTGGATGGGTCGCCAGGCAACAGTTGTATTCAACTGTGCTGAGAATGAGTAGGTAGCTCTCACCAGAGAGTGAGTATAATGTGCCAAATCAACCAAGGGGGGATAGTAGAGCCCTACTGTGTACCAACTTCTCCTCGCCACTGTTTTTATATAGAGAATTTAAAAAACCTAGAATGATATGTTATTACTATTAATTATTCTTATTACATTACTGGTCTTCTTATTATTCCTATGCTCCTCATCATTAATATTCTATTATTTGAATATGGCATGGCTCTGTCCTGTGACTGTGTTTTGACTGTTTTGAACCTCTCAGCCGAGAAGTACACACCAACAGAGACAAACTAAGATGGACGAGACGTTTGAGTTCTTCTTTTCTACCAAGAGGAATGTGCTCTCTGCTGAGCCAAAAACAAGCCCGTCTTTTCTCTTGGTGAAGCCCCGCTACACTTGCTCCTCATCCTCCTAAAGAGGGAACGCTGTACAGATGAGAGAGAGAAGTTCTATATTTGCAACAGAGGTGACTGTTTTGTTTGTACAACATGGTTTTGAAATCTTTCAGACTTTTCAGAAGCCAGAATCCCAAGTTAGTTACCTACCTGCTCACTTACAATGGTACGTTTTTGATTTTGAAATCGAACTAAAAATTCTAATCTTCAAATGAATGTCTTTAATTCCCACAGGGGAAACATATCTGCACTGTTCAAAATCAAAAAACGACTCTTAGGAAAAGACCTAAAACTCTCAGCTTCCTTCCCGATACACTGTAGCTCCACTGTGTTTTATCAACAAATCTTTTTTTTTTCCCTCCTCCTCCCATCTCCCAGGTTTTTACTTGTTATTTTTTGGATTCCTCTGGTTCCACTGTGGTGCCATTGTGCCAACTTGATAAATCACAAAGAAGTATTTGAAATGATTTTAAATACTACTATTTACAGACCTCTTCATCGATACACATCAGTTTGCCAAACAGAACAACAATTTGCACAAAACGATCCACCCCCATTGGCTCACTGCTCCCCTTCTATCCTCCAATCATTTCTAAGACCAAAGTACTGTGGTAGTAAATTGACCCTTATAGCCCCCTGACCCAGCCCCAGCTATTTACCCACCATCACCCTTACAGTTACGACTCTAGCACATGCATACACATTCAGGTGTACTCATGCACACAAACCACACGCAACCACACACTGATGAATGTATTCTTTGAGAAATTAATACTGTTGAGCAGCTGGATTTTCTGTTTGTGATGTACAAGCTGCGTTCAAACAGTGTCCTCATCTGTCTGATAGAAACATTTCTTCAGATGGCCACTTGTGTTTCAGTCATTGGACATAAATAAGGAATATTTGGCTTTCTAAAAAATGAAATCTGACCACTCAGGGCAGATTCTCATGGACGCCTTTCCTCACACCAGTTTGTGTCACCAATTGAACCAAATGTTGTCCACAAGAAGCTCAAAATTGCCACTGCAGACGGCTATTGAAGTAATAGCAACGGGGTTTTGCCTTATCAAAGGTTTTGGACTGAAAAAAAGTGTTATAATAAAATGTGATTAGTAGTGTGGTGACAAGAGACTACATGTACAGGATCTAAATACTGGAGGCTGAAAAGAGGACGAAAATGTGATGACAAAAATACTGCTGTTTATTCTATACTGAACTGTGCTACAGCAACTCATTTAAGAGGACTGTAAACCAGGGATGGAGTCAAGAAACATTTCAATTCAGTGGATTTTGAATTTAACAAACCTGCAGTATTCACAGTATTAACAAACAAATTTGTAATTACAAATGCTTATTCTGACTGACTGAATCTCTTCCACAACGCTTTCTGAACTGAAACAGAATTGACTCCAACCTTGAAACTTGAAAACAACACAATTGAAACAACAGCGCTGGTGAACAATGAAAAGTTTATTGGTGAATGGAAACACTGTATAAAATCTTTTTCGTCTGCTATAATGAGTTCAGAATGCTCAAGTCATTAAGTCCAGTTAAAGCCATAATCGTGGGTTAGTGAAATCACCACAGCTGCTTGTAGCACTGCAAAAGCACCTTCATTAGTGTGGTTTTAAAAAAAAGGCAGTTTTGTTCTCTCCTCATGCTGCAGCAGCTGACACGGCTCCTCTGCTGCTGCAGCAAACAATCCAACTCTGATCCAAAAGGAAACTGATGAGCCGTGGTTGTTTCTGCATTACACGTCCCAGATTGTGGCTTTAACTTAACAACAGCCTTAAAACATTTCGATTTTCTTTAATCTTTTTAACTTAAGCATTGCTTTGAAAATCGAAGAAGTTCCTGTTTTCTTAACGTATACTTTCCTGACTGCAATTTTATAATTGCTTGATTCTTAAGCCTCACTTGAGCATTCTTTGAGTAACAGTAATATCAATGTAGCGATGTATTAAAGTACTGTTTTTTTTTTCCTCCGTTCTGTTTATGAACAATAATGGCCTGCATTTATCATGTGTCAGAGAGTAGCAGAGCTCGTCTGGAATCAGACAACAACAAGCTGACGGTCCAAGCGACCAGTCGACAGTGACCCTAATCAGCGCTGCTATTCTTTGAAGCGTGATGAAGAGAAACTGTGTTTTTGAAACAACAATGCCTAGAAAGTGGAAATAAATAGAGGTCCTACTGACAACAGACAGAAACGACAATGGAGCATGATGCAAGGAAATCCTCAGTGGAAGCTTGTGTTATATTCTTCTAGAGAATGACTCAGGAGCGAGCCAGCAAGAAAAAGAGTGAAAGAGAGAGAGAACGCTCTGCCATAGGATCTCTCAGAGGCTTTCTTTCTTTATTTTCTTGTCAAAAAATTAAAATGAGCACAATAAAATAGCCTTTCTTTCACTGTCTCCTTTTCTGGAGAAACCATGCCAGAAGTTTTAAACACACTCGGGACACACTTTCAACAACGTCTGTTGGGGTGCTTTTGCTTGGGTAAATCCCTGAAGGATCAGTTCATCCACATCACAAGCAGGAATCTGGTGGTGTCTGTGCACGGACAGTTTTGGTGTAGGTTGTTAAGGTTTTGAGATATCCGTCTGCCTCCACCTCAACACAAAGCAGGCAGACTAAATTTGTTGGTGGTGCTCAGTGTTGAATAATGACATTTAAAAAATTCAACAGAAACATCTCTTTCCATAGCACTGTCCCAGTTACTCTCAACTATCCACAGAACACACCACAAAAGTTTTCAATAAACTAGTTCCAGTGAAAACTGTTCATAGTGAGTGTCCCTGTTATTCCAGATAGATGTAATCCAGAATAACAGGGACACTGTGACAGCAATGACAGTAAGACGAAGACATGCAGGGCCTGTTGCTCTGTCATTAGCTTAGCTGTACTTTAAGGCTTAAACCTGTGTTGTCACACTTGATCCTTTTCAGCCCTCTAAACAGACTCAGAGTGATGACTCAGCATTTTTTGCACATATGTGAACACTTCAAGAGAACTCAGACCCCTTGGAAGCGAACCAAACTCAGACCAGTGATCTGTTTGGGTCAGCGGCGCGGTTCACTTCACCCGTGCCTTGTGAACACAAAGCGCTCCAGGTTTGCTCTTTGCCATTGTATTTAGCCCTCTAGATCACACGCTGTTGCACTGGGATGCTTGAAGACGAAACTATGTCAGCCTGTGACACTTCTAAGGACGCAGGACGAGGAGGAAGATACTGCATGTCTCCAGATGTGGAAAGTAGAATACAACAAACGGCAACAGTCTACAGCACACAGAAACTCAGTGTTCTCCTCAATTGTGAGTTAATCTAAAAGCAAAGGGCTTCATAACCGCACTTCAGTGCCACGTCAAAGTAAAAACCAAATTACATCAACATATATTATATATAGGCTGTAGGGTGAACAGAAAGAGGACTGAGGCCCCATCAGAGCTGAAGCTGACCAGAGAGAGAACTGAGTCCTGTTTCAAATTAACTGACAATGTGAACACAAAAAGAACTGAGTCCCCTTTCTGTTGGTGCACTTTCAGAGGACTGAGTTTGGTTCATTTAAAAATGACTATATGTGAAAACTGAACCTGGTTGCTATGTCCTGTAAAAATCAACTAAACTCCCTGTATTGTGTGCATCAATCAGGCATACTGTGTTACCTTGAATGTTTTTTTCTCATATGCCCTTAAAGAAAGCTGAAAACATACTGAGTTATTGATCGATCGGGGGCTGTTTAACACCAGCAAAACTATATCAAAACATCTGTTGACAAACTATCAGACAACTCGTACAAAATAAGTCAAGTCTCATTTAGTCAGTTGTGTGCTCAGTACTCCCAAACACATGTTCAGTAAACCTTTACTATGTAATACTGAGCTAAAAGTGAAGCTTATATGTGCTCCAAAAATTATGTTTTTTTTTTGTTTTGTTTTGTTTTTTACAAAAATGCATGTGTCTGACCATCAACTGGATAAATGAGACTTGGATTAAGCTGAACAAGTTGTGGGAGAGTTTGTAAACAGCTGTTGTGATATATAGATTTGCTGCTGTTAAACTTGGTCCTCAATGAATCAATAAATCAGTGTTTGCTGTTTTCCATGAAAGCATGCAAGAAAAACAAAGTATGGTTCACAAATTTAAGGTAACACAGCATGACTAATTGTATACAAATGGTTATTTAGTGGGTGAAGTACTCCTTTAAACCTGCTGCCATCATGGTTTCACTGGGGTCTAAGGTCATAAAGTTCACACTAATGACAGATTTATACAGCTCAGATCATTTGATTAATTTCTAAAATGTATTACCTTTTTCCATGTATTTTGTTCTGTGGGCGACACTAAGCAGGAGTCACACGTATCTAATTGTGTAATTACAGTTAAAGGTCTCACTTTTTCTTCAGCTCAGTTTCTGATGCAAGAAACAGGGTCACTAATTATCTGACAAACACAACAAATATTTGTTAATTAATGCACCGCTAGAGTTTGCCAGTAATGTATGAGTCATAGAACTAAATGATCATACGTGTACTGCCATCCTAACTATAGTCTGTGGAACTAAATTCATTATCAATCTTGCACTGAGTCATCAGACAATTGCCAAGAGTAAGAATCTCAATAATCGTGCAAACAAACTCACTCGCAGTGTAATCGCATTCACTTGACCAGGAAGTTAAGGAGTGGGGAAATGTGCACAACAACACTGCAGATAGTGATATCAGTGATCAGTGATAATCCATTGCCCGAGTGCATTCTGGGGAGTCATCAGACACACATCTACTCCTAGTGTGCTATATGATGTTGAAGTTCTCTGACACACCTGCATTCAGTGGCTCAGACACTGGGTTCAGTCTTCAGTCATTTAGCGGTACAGTGCTTATTTTGACAGAGCAATCATGTCGAGCTTCAAAACCCCTGCAAGTTCCGGTTTACAGTAGCTGGACCTGTTATAAACCACAGCTAAGCTAGTCAGGCGCAACGTGAAAAAGCAACAGCCCCGCAGAGAGAATTTCAGTCAGTCAGTTTAGCCAGATTACAAAATAACATCTAATTTAACTTCAAGCGCTGTCTTGCCATAGATAGTTCTGGTTTCACTGGTTTTGATCCGTTTCTCTTATCTTATCTAATTTATATACAAACAAGACTAAGGGCTCATTTATACTCCCTTTGCATACGAAAATAGATACCTTCACCTTAAACATCACTGCCCTCATACTTCTGTATCTGTCATGATAGCATAGATATGGCCAATAGATGGCACTAGAGGACAGAGTCAAAAGGTTCACACGAGAACAATGGCGGCAACGGGGGTAGGTCATAATAATGTACCTTTTGACAGAGGCAGCGTAGTAGACAGCGAGGGCCTTTGAGGCCATCAAATACATTGTGAAACGTGGACAGAGATTTCCTTTCACTATTTTATCGTTTTTTTCCCGTTCCGCCATTTCTTAAATGTCTTTGTCGTATCTCATTTGAACAATGCTACACCGCCCCCATGATCTCCAGTTGTACTGCTCTGTGTTGTCCATATCTGTAAGCTCTCAGAAAACATACACAGGTACAGACAAAATGGACGCAGAATACGGACAGACGAATCAGTCCATGTGCATAAATGTATCAAACGTTGAGCATAAATGAGCCCTACGAGTCTAAAGCCATGCTAGCAGCCCTGTGAGGCTGTACTTTGGCCCAGCAGTGATTTGAGCTAAATACTAATGTCAGCATGCTACCATGCTGGTGCACAGGTGAGGCTGATGGGAAAGTAATTTGTTTTGCTATTATAAAATCAGATTTTGACCACATGATGTCTCTAGAGGATAAACTGAGGGACCACCAAAGTTGTTATTAATTTTGAGGGGAACATGAATGAAAACGGTCACCACCTGTTGGGATATATCATGAATCACTATGAATGTCTGTACAAAATGTTGTGCCAATCCTCTCAGTAGCTGTTGAGACATTGTACTCGATAAGTAAAAAATGTAGCCATCCACAGAGCAACTACTAGGTATAAAAAATTAACCTTACACTATCGGTATGGCTCGATAGCACCAGAGGCAAGTGAGAAAAGTACTTTAACAGTGCTCTGCTGTCTGATATGTGGTTAACTCTTGGTTGCACACAGTCATAAAGAGGTGAGTAATTATTGTTTATACATACATATATATATATATATATATATATATAACCTGTAGCCAGTTAGTAGTTTTATGGCATACAACATGACGACATCACAATAATTAATAATTCAGATTGGTTAATCACTGACTGACTAATAACTGAACAGTTTTTGGCTTGTACTGAAATATAATCCTGTTAAATAAATTTTAAACCCCTGTTAAAAAAATAATTTTGGCAAATCCACACACTTTTAATGTCTCAGTCCAAACTTAATCGGGGTGAATGTAAATATGGGCCAAATCCGCTGTAGGAAAACTTGGATGAGCACGGATACTGGCAAACCCGAGACACCCTCAGTCAAAATACAGCTTCAGAGAGACTTCAAAAAAGGGTGAAAAGAAGTAATGTCATGTTGTATTGGCACTGTGGATGAAAGGCCCTATTTGGAGCGTGTCCTTGGTGAGATGAAATAGGATGCTTACTTTGCTGAATTTTAATTTGACAGCAGCGAGTGAATGGACCAAGCGAACCATCTAATGAGGAGTGTACATACTCTGAAATTTGGTGTTTAATATGCCAAGAAAACGAAGCATTTAAAATAATTTCAAGAATTTCTTATTTTGTGTGAAGGAACTACACACAGTTTGTCAATAGAACATTTGGTGATGTAACCTACTTCTCCGGCAATTTCAGGATGTTTGTGTCAAACAAAAGGTTTGACGTGGTTGGAGTGTGAACTGTCAGCAGCCTGAAAACCATCAGCTGAAATCTAGGCTACCTTTACTTACAAAAAGCTCTGAACATGCCCCCCCACCCCACCCCACGTACCAACATGGTAATTTTCTACATTGTTACACCATTCGATTTCATTCAGAGGCTTTTAATGAGAAGCTTTACTGTGCGTGACGCAGGTAAGTGCATCGCTCTGAAAGACATCAGCACTGCAACACGAGGCAGCGGCTTTACTTTTTAACTCTCCGTTCACATGTAACAGGACTGTCTGGTGCCGTGGTTACAAGAGGATAACGATCTGAAATGAAGCTCACAAAAACAACAACTTACCTAAGTGCTGACTGTTTTACACAACATGGATGGTTATGTCACACCCAGCGGTGGGTAAGTACATGTACTCCACTGATTTAACACACCAAGATGAGTTCATCAGTCATGAGGAGGTGCAGCTCAGCTTGTGACAACAGTTGTGTGTGTGTTTTCTGTGGCTCTGGGTGAGTCTGACAAAATGACCTCACCCTGGTGTCATGTTTGGGGACTACACAAAGCCTGGCTTAC